CAGGTTTACAGGGGTTGTAAACCTAATACACCTGAAAAAAAATGTAGGCACAGGCCATTTAAGGGGAGAGAATAAGGGGATATCATGGAAAAACATGACACTGGCATAAAATGTGTACAATCGAACAGTTAGAAATCCAAAATATGAAACTATGTACACAACAAGATATAGGTAGATGGTGTCAACATAAGAAATGTCTCAGTAGTGGTTCACAAAGCTAACCAGTCAACATAAGAAATGTCTCAGTAGTGGTTCACAAAGCTAACCAGTCAACACAAGAAATGTCTCAGTAGTGGTTCACACAGCTAACCAGTCAACATAAGAAATGTCTCAGGGGTGGTTCACCTTGCTAACAAGTCAAGAAGCCTTAACCATTTCGTGGGAGGTAAAACCAATTGTTTAGTAGTGGCGTTGCTTTTGTCCTTTACAAAATAAATACTGTGATCAAGCATGATGCGTTATGTGACAAAATGTGTGAAGTGAAGAGAGCTAAGACACCAGTTGTTACCTATAATCAAAGAAAGTGTAGGAGGGACAGTTAAAAAAAAAAGTCATCCATTGAATAAATGGGTAACATTTGGAAGTGTCAAGTTGGACAATCAAAAAGCATGAAAAAAAGTGTTGGTAGTTGAATGGTTTTTGGTCATCTATAAAAAATTTTAAAATTTTGCCAGATTTTTTACCTAGCAGCAATCACTGCACTGCCTACTAAAATATGGCTGATGTCATTACGCCTACATCCCTGGCAGTCGGTGGTATCAAGTGACATCCCTGGCAGTCGGTGGTATCAAGTGACATCCCTGGCAGTCGGTGGTATCAAGTGACATCTCTGGCAGTCGGTGGTATCAAGTGACATCCCTGGCAGTCGGTGGTATCAAGTGACATCCCTGGCAGTCGGTGGTATCAAGTGACATCTCTGGCAGTCGGTGGTATCAAGTGACATCTCTGGTAGTCGGTGGTATCAAGTGACATCTCTGGCAGTCGGTGGTATCAAGTGACATCCCTGGCAGTCGGTGGTATCAAGTGACATCTCTGGCAGTCGGCGGTATCAAGTGACATCTCTGGTAGTCAGTGGTATCAAGTGACATCTCTGGCAGTCGGTGGTATCAAGTGACATCCCTGGCAGTCGGTGTCAAGTGACATCTCCGAGATTTATATCAGTGTCCTCTCTCCTCCCCACGACAGAGGCTGACAGACTGAGAAGTCAGAGGCTGACAGACTGAGAAGTCAGAGGCTGACAGACTGAGAAGTCAGAGGCTGACAGACTGAGAAGTCAGAGGCTGACAGACTGAGAAGTCAGAGAAGTCAGAGGCTGACAGACTGAGAAGTCAGAGGCTGACAGACTGAGAAGTCAGCGATGATGCATGTGGCATAGTATCAGATTTCAGTTGAGCATAAGAAGCTGGTTTTGTCTGTGTGTGTGGTAGTACCCAGTATCTTGGTCAACATCCAGCTACCAGTAGTTACACTAGCACTACTGGTAACTGGACATCGTCCTGCATTTAATGTACAAAATTCTAGAACTGACCCGTTTTAAAATGAAGTTCACGACTAAAATTTCTCAACCTATACAAGAGGAACGACGATGACAATCCAGGCTCTCCATTATGTACAAGATAAATAATGGGCTTGTCCACTGTTCCAGTATTAAACAGAAACTCGTCCCTCTATATTAGGCTCATACCAGCAAGAAGCCAGTATAGGAGCTGCTCATTCATGCCCAAGACAATCAGGGACTGGAACACACTTTCAAAAGGAACAGTTGAGGCGACAACACTAGACTCATTTGTGTCTATTGCCTCAAACCTTAAAACCCCCGGCGCATAATTCCCTCACAAAGTTGCACTGGAAATCAGTGAAATGTCCTCATCAAAACCAGGCACAGAAACATTGCAAATCCCCTCTACATGCATAGGAGCCAAAATGATCAATAAATTGATTGTGGGCCCTTAATATATAGAAGAAGAAGAAGAGTCTATATATAATGAGAGAGAGGGAGAGAGAGAACTACAATATGGGTGTGTTTAAATGTAATCACAAACAAACCTTCACCATGTTTTCCTGTCAGGAGTTTTATGTCATCTATCTGAACAATGAGTTGTAACAAACGCTGCCACTGGTTGGATTGGCAGAGGAGTTTCATAGTTATTGGCCAATACCTGGAGGGGAAAAGGAAAACCTTTTTTTTAAAGAAGCTTTAACATGCTTCTTTTCAGTCTGTCACAAATACCATAGTAAATATGTACTCAAGTGTTGACATCATGAAATTCTGATATTTACACAATTTATTTGAAATACATCACCTACCAAACATTTATTTATAGCCCAACGTGCATGTAAACTAACAAGGAAACGAGACAAAAACAATCTTTCTACCAATAATTTCATCTTAACTATCTTTAACTTAAAAAGGTTTCAAATAAATTACTCAGTATTGATTGACAGGGTCACAATGTCTTCTCTTTCTTCATCTGAATCTATCATCGACAAAATAATTTTCAGCCAATCGGAGGGAAGTACTGACAGCACCTGACTTGCAAGACTATTAATAGAAGTAAATAATAAATATGTATAAATACATTGTATAAGTAAAAGATACAGTATAAATATATGGTTGTTTTTTTTTCTTCAAATAAATACACTGTAAACAATTGATAAGCCTCTTTGTAATACTGTTAGTAGAATTATTTTTATCTGCCTTTTTAAAAGATAGGCCACAGCATGACACAAGGGGTTTAAAATGGCAGATCCACACTGATGATAGTCAAGTTGCTTGTCAAATTATAACCATTTATTATGTTAATTCTTTGAAAAGTGACATGGGACAACAAACGAAAGTCTTCATTCAACTTTTAAACACAGAAATGTATCGTTACACATGTATTATGGTTGAGTACACACAAGAAGCTGTTAAATGCATGTCCCAGTAAATGTTAATGTTAGTAAAATGCTCCCAAGCTCACTTCCCAGGACAGCAATAAGATGAACAGCCCAGGGAAGACCCCAAGAAATTTGGACACAGAGAAGTAGAGAAGGATCTACAGAATAAAACCGGACCCTGCAGCCATTGGACACAACTGGTGTTACTCAACCATTGGACACAAGTGGTGTTAACCAGCCATTGGACACAAGTGGTGTTACTCAGCCATTGGACACCACTGGTGTTAACCAACCATTGGACACAAGTGGTGTTAACCAACCATTGGACACAAGTGGTGTTACTCTGCCATTGGACACAAGTGGTGTTAATAAGCCATTGGACACCACTGGTGTTAATCAACCATTGGACACAAGTGGTGTTACTCAGCCATTGGACACAAGTGGCGTTAACCAACCATTGGACACAAGTGGTGTTACTCAGCCATTGGACACAAGTGGTGTTACTCGGTCAATGACTCATGCATGATGACTGAAAGAATGAGTTAGTGATCAGGATTAAGTGTACCTTTTGGTGGGTTCAAATGAAGTGACATCTTGAGCTAATGTTGACAGTAGAGCTTCTAGGAAAATGTATCTCATGTCTCTGTTCTTCTTACACATATGGCTGAATACCTCAGACCTGAAAAAGTGGGATCATCATTTAGAAGCTTTAAAAAAATGACAACTTAAAATTTTACAAATCCATAAAACTTTTAATTAGACAAATCAAATTTAATTTTTATTACCAGAAAATAGATTGTAAGTTTAAATATTTTTGTGCTGCTGTTTTTTTTTCAAATATTTTATAGAATTATTTATTTTGTCAAAAATTGCTCTAGTAGATATTTTAAAATTAAATTTTTTTTCTTAAATGTTATGTTATAAATTTTTAGAACATAAAAAAAATTATTCACATTTTAACAAGTGAAGGAAGAACTTTTAACATTGGGGTAAACCTAACTAGCTACAGCAAAAACAAATGTTAAAGATGGTTTGTTTAGTTTAACAAACATTTTTGATCCCACCTTTGAACTGTAGCCAAATCTATCATCACCTGTCTGACATATCTGAGCAGACAGGTCGAGGCCGGTTTTGAACACAAAGCACACAAACATAGGAGGTCATTAGGTGTGACCTGTTTGTAGATCTCTCCACAAAACTCACTGGTTTTGGCAGGCACTTGGTCCAATAATCTTTACAATAATGAGAGCAATAAGAGTAACAGAGGTTGATATTTTTAAAAAAATTATACCGGTATTTTAATAATGTATTTTTTTAAAAAAACAGATTCATATTTTTTTTCTTCTTTAGTTTTTATCTAGGAAAATTTGTTTGATTTAAAAATTTTTTAAAGTAATAGCAGCATATGTAAAACATAAATTAAAATAAAGGAATTTCTTTTTAAAACAATATGTGCAAGCCATTTAAAAAAAGAATGTTAACAAATGACTTACTCGTAGATATGTCCCAACAAGGCTGATTGTTGTGGAAGGATGCCTGATCTCAAATAGTCAAAGGCAGAATTGAACTGTTTATCAGACAAAATGCTGCCAACAATATTGTCACTTCCTTTCTCTAAAATTGAGGTGGAATATTAATTAAAACAGATGATATAAAGAAATAATTACCGGTAAAAGTAAAAAAAAAATATTTGTACAGCTTTATTCCATTTAACATAATAGTGAAATTACATTTGCTTAAAATGAAATTTGCTTTTTTAAAAATTTTTTCAATAATTTACACTAAGAGGTGCAATCTAAACATATACTAGGCTTGTTGACCCTGAAAAATCTATATTTCAAAAATAACTTGTTAATCATATCCCATAAATAAATGTGATATCCCATAAATAAATAATGATATCCCATAAATAAATAATGATATCCTAAAAGTAATTCTTAAGTGCACTCTTTAGTACTGAATAAATGTGACGGCTTACCATGAGAACACTGCAGAAAGCTGGCCCATGTTAGAAACAGATTGGTCTCTTGATAGTCCAGCTCTTGCTTCAATCTTTCATAATCAAATGCAAAAAAATACAAACGTGTGAACAAGGCCAAGCTCAGATCCCTCTCGATACTGGGATCTGTGAACACACTTTGATCAAGTTTTGTATTGGACACATCGCAGCTTCCGATCGGCTTTGGGTCTTCTGCTGTGGTGTCCAGCTTGTGCTCTTGGGGCCTTTTAGTTTCATCATAAGTTAAACTTGGCCTAGTTTCTGAACTGTTGACCCACTTTAAAGCAGTGTTTACATGATGACCTGCAAATGTGCTTACTTCGTTGTCTTTCTTCAGTGCTGCTGAAGTATTTGTCATTATTTTGGATCCTGTATCTTCAATATCGAATTTTTTATTAACAGTTGACTCGATGTGACCTGATGAATTTACTGAATAATGTGATCGCATGGAAAATTTTTCTGAAAGAGGGTCATAGGATGAAATTAGGGATACCGGTAGGAAAGATTTAAGGAACTCATTTAAATGAACTACTTTCGTAAACCCTAAAAAGTTCAAAATATTGCCTGTAGCTCCTGAAATAAAACATAAGGTTGTCAAGGTCTTAACAAGCTCTAATTGTTGGACTGGAATATGGAAAGGATCCTTTGAATGAATAATACTTGACCAGTATCTGGGCGTTAGGCAGGGAATGGGTGAGTCATGGAGTTCATCATGGGGAGTCTGAGATGATAATGAGCTGTCAATTAAGGCACTTGGCACGCATTTGTTTTCACATGACCTACTTGTGCCGTCCTCAACAATCTCATCAGACACTTCGGAATTTAGAGCTCCATCTGAAAATTCAGGTTCCTCGTTAGCACTAGTACGATTTCCTGAGCTTGTAGGTTTTTCATAATTTTTACTATGTTCGTATTGCATTTTGATCAGCTCTTGATGGTAGGCCACCATGACACCATTCAACTCCCGGGCCCACTCATTGAGAACCCTCACCAAGAGTCTTGGGTTTAAAAGAGTGGCGGGGCTGCTCAGTGTTTTCTGGATGTCTCTGGCCGTTTGGCACAACATTGCAATGTCCAAACTGGCAACTGCGGCTTCTTTAATTTTTTTACTGTTGGCTTCCTGATTTTCCGTTGTCCTGTCTTGTTGGTCATCAATTTGTTGAAGAGAACTTGATTCATCTTTCAATGGCCTTTGTTGCTGGGAGGAAACACCAGTAAAAGAACCAATATTTAAAGTTATGAAATAAAATAAACATGAGTAATTTAGACGCACGGTTGGATAATTCATTATTTTCCTGTGAGAGACATCATTGCTAGCTTGAGTGCTAAACCAGATACTTCTAAAAATCATTTAAAACCTGAATACCTTAACAGCTTTCTTTATAATAAAATTTAGGGTTACCGGAAATTTGTTTGAAATAAATTTTATTGACAGAAAATCGATCGACGGAAATTTGGTCTAATCTTATTTTCAGTTCACACTTTAAAATTTTCGTCAAATTTCTTTTTGAACGCACTATACTATATCGCAAAACAAAAAACCTGACCAAACCAAACTGTCAACTGGACTCACCTGGTGCACAAGGGATGACAACATGGGGGAGCTGGTAGATTTGGCCATAAGAATATTTTTCTCTTTCATTGTTTTGATGAAGGATTTTGTTTGGGATTTCAGATGAGAGAGGCTGAATATAATTTAAAAAATGATGAGAAATTGAAATAAAATTAAGCCAAGCAACAAGGGAGGTTAATTTTTTAAGCAACAAGGGAGGTTATTTATCTAAGCAACAAGGGAGTTTATCTAAGCAACAAGGAGGCTATGTTATATTTATCTACTTAAAATATAATTCGCCAGAAGAAGTAGGGCAAACAACAAGATGACCACGCAGACTATATATAAATTTGCCAGAGCAAGCAAGACGCAGGCGAACCCTCCCTTCCCTTCCCTTCCCTGCCCATCGTTGGTCTTGAGACATGCGCACTGTGGTGGAGCTACCGCCCCTAACCCCTCCTGCACCACCCTCGTTTGCCAGCCAGCTCGTGGCGTTTGCTAAGCCGCGGGTCGGCGTGAAATAAAAAGTGTGCAGTGATGTATCATGAAGGGGGGAGGGGAGGGGGGGAAGGGGGTGTAGCAACATTGGCATTCTTAAATGTGCATAACTTGAGTTCACATTTTTGTCATGTAACTTTAGTAGATGGGAAGTTCACGCATTGCTGTCGCCAATGTTTGGCGGGCTATATCCACCCTCGCTTGCCAGCCATGCGCACACACCAACAAGCTCGTGGCGTCGTATGCTAAGCCGCAGGTCGGCTATATTTATATAGTTCATGGGCGTGAAATAAAAAGTGTGCAGCGACATATCATGAAAAGGGGGGAGGGGTGTAGCAAAAATTGGGATTCTTAAATGTGCGTAACTTGAGTTCACGTTTTTGCCAAGTAACTTTAGTAGATGGGAAGTTCATGCATTGCTATCGCCAATGGGGCCACATCTAGTCTAATTTAAAAAACTCAGATTCAACAAAAATTATGGTTTGGGTATCATGATAAAATAGTTAAAATGGCAAGTCTGACAATTATACAGCTTTGCTCTGAAACAATGCTTGAACACAAAACTCTTGAGGAGTGGTTACATGGCCTTGTCCAATGAGCATGAAACTTTTTCATACATTCCTTGGATCTTACTACCAAAATCTATAATATTATAAAATTGTCCAAAACAGTCCAAAAACATTTATTAGATACAAACATGTTCTACCCGCAAAAAATATCAAGATGCATTCTTGCCTACACTTAAACGTTAACAAATATTTATTTAAGAAAATAGCAGTAGTATATTGTAATCTGTATCCTTTCAAATCTAAAACTGTTGAGATGAAAAAGGCCCAAAGAAAAAGATTGCTCTTCCCACTTGTTCACATACCCATCTGTAAATGCAGACAAAGAAGTTTTCGGTGACCCAACTGAGAAGACATTTTCTCCCGTCAATGGGCTGTTGTTTGGTGGACTATCCCTCATGCCAAGGGAAAGGTCATCAGTGCTGTAAGCTCCACGAGCCGCTGCTAGACGGTCTATGAGAGGGGGAATGACTTCTGCTTTAGCCTCTGTGTACAACAGTGTGCCAGAATTTTTCCTAACAACTTGCTTGTCTGTAACAATAGGAAGGAGTTGTATCGAAATGTTAACAAGAATTACTGACAACACAAACACTTTGCATATAGTGACAGACAACACAGCAACTTGACACACAGTGGATGACAACACAGGAACTCGACACACACTGAATGACAGCACGGCACCTAGAAACACAATTACTTACAACACAGCAATTGACACAGTGAATACATTTTCTCATAAAACTACTTTAATTTAAACTCATCTATTTTGAATTTTTGAAATGCACTATCAATCCTTTTGTTTTTCTTGAAGAGAAATCCCTGATTTTATTTATTAAGTGTCAGAAAGATACCCAACATCTTTCAGAACTGTATCCATCATATAGTTTTTGTAGTGTTGCGTTTGTTTTAAATGTGGTAAATTATAGATTTGTATTTTGTTGACTTTGTACCGCGCTTCGAGCCTTTGGGGATGAAGCGTGTTTTTGAAATGAACTTTATTATTATTATTATTATTATATATTTGCAGATTAAATCTTTACCTTAAATGCCTTAAATTTGTCCTATAACATTTCATATCCATTAGTCCATTAAATTTGTCTCATAAAATTTCATATCTAGCAGTCCATTAAATCTGTCTATAACATTTCATATTTAATAGTCCATTAAATCTGTCTATAACATTTCATATTTATTAGTCCATTAAATCTGTCAATAACATTTCATATTTATTGGTCCATTAAATCTGTATATAACATTTCATATTTATTGGTCCATTAAATCTGTATATAACATTTCATATTTATTAGTCCATTAAAGATTGATGATCGGGAAGAATTGAATTCAAATAATAAGTTTATAATATTTACCCTTACGGTACTGACCTACTTTTTGCTTCTATTGTCTCAGTACCGGCCATTAATTGGCTAATTATTCCCTGTGGCCCAGACATTATTTTGGAATGAGTAAAAATTTGATAAGCTTGTTAATTTATTTTGTAACTTTTTGTTTTAAACAATTGATAATAACATGTAGAGAATTATCTGTTCAGAAATGGATAAGGGTGTTAAAAAAACACTTCTAATCCCAATTAAAGCTCAATAATATTTTCAGAACAAAAGGTTTCATCAAGTAGGTGTAAGTGGCCATCAACAATAGTGATTAGGCAGCGCCATGGAAACAACAAATACAGATCCGTTAAAAAAACTCAGTAATTGGTCGATTTTCATAACTTAAAAGGCAAATTAAAATTCGACTATTCCCCTAACGAATAAACATTCTGCCCAAGACTGTGATGAACGGTTATATCCTCATTTCTGTGTTTATATTAGATACCCCTCCAAGTCGTCATGAACAATAGTCAATAGCGCTGGTGGCGCCATGGAAACAACAAATACAGATCCGCATAAAAAACTCAGTAATTGGTAGATTTTCATAATTTAAAAGGCAAATTAAAATTTGACTATTCTCCTAACGAATAAACATTCTGCCCGAGACTGGGGTGAAAGGTTATATCCTCGTTTCTGTGTTTTTATTAGATACCCCTCTATGCGGCAAATAGACGCGCTTGGGCCACATGGAAAACGGTCGGCTGGTGAAAAAAGACGCGCTTGGGTCACAGGGAAAAATTAGGTCACTGCAAAAAGATGCGCCGGGTACTGTAAGGGTTAAATTTTCCGGCTGACATGTACAGTAGCAATATTCCCAACCTGCTCACTCAGTCCAAACAATATGGGCTCCAAACACTAACAATATTTACCCATTTAGTTTTCATGCATAAATGAACTGGCCAGTCCACACTATACAGAGGTTGACAATAACTTTTTGTATTTTCAGCAACCATCCTTTATACACAAAAATAATTATAAATTTTGGGGGAAAGAATGCTGTTCTTTGTAACCCTCAAATCTAACTTTGAACAACAGCAGGGAATCAAATTACTAATATAATTAGTGTTGAGTGTTACCTATGGGTATCAAATTAATGTTGAATATTACCTATGGGTATCAAATTAGTGTTGAATATTACCTATGGGTATCAAATTAATGTTGAATATTACCTATGGGTATTAAACTAGTGTTGATTGTCATCAATGGGTGATTTTACCTTTGAAGCCAGGCGGAGACACTGAATATTCAAATGTGGACTTTTTATTATCTGCCTCACAATATAAATCTCCTGCTAATGATAGTGAATCAGGAGTGATCCCCCCAGGCAACATGACATCATCCTCCTCTTCAATGCTGCTGATGGTGGTAATGGACATGGCATCAAAGTCAGCCTCGATGTGATCAAATAACATGTCTTCTGGCTCATCTCCAACAGATACTGTACTTCGGAGGCTACCTGTCAGCCAGCGAATGATGCATTCCAAATTGAAGTTATGATGCAATAATGTGATCATGCAAAGCTCAAAATTCAGTAAATCTCAAAATAAACAAAAGAACTATGTAATTAATATACATGTCGCTTTAAAAAGTAACACATCAAATATTTTAAATTTATGTGCAAATGATATTTTAACAAATTTTATTTAAATATAATGATATCATTTAAATGAGTAAACTTCAGGCTACAAAATATATGATTTTTACCTTTTTTATTGTCATAAGGATAAATATCTGAAAAAAAGATTACATTGATAGAGATAATAGTTGAACATAATGAAGAAAATTCAAGTCTGTTTTTTTTTAATGATCCTAATGGCTAATAAGAACTAACAAAATCTCAGCTGATACATCTAATTTTCTTTAGCAAATATCTAAGAGAAATCTAATATGAAAATAGATTTCTTTTTTGCTTACTCAAGAAACTCTTTGATAAAAAAAATCAACTATATGACTATATGCAACTATAAAGTACTTTGTAAAATATTAGAACTAGGGTTACTTCCCAATAAAACAACCATATTGATATTTTCTAGGATCTTTGGTAATTTACCATATACATTCTCATGTAAAGGTCCCACATTTTTTATGAAAAATTTCTGAAAAATCAGGGGTTCGGTTCCACCTATAGCCTATATGCTCCACAATAATTTTGTGTACTGTTACTTAGTATGGACAAATACTTGATACAAAAAGTAAGAGAATTGTTTTCTCCCTTGTTTTCGCTAACGCTTGAGCAGAGGTCAATCAATTTTTTAAAATAATTTTTTTAATTAAAAAACACTTAGTTCGTGACTATTGTTTTTTAGTTTTCAAGTTGCAAATGAAATCAATTTTGCTGCATCTGTTTTAAAAATATTGGTTACGTTTCCATTACAAAAGGGTAATTAAATCTCTTGTGATCTCAAGAACACTTTACCCACCTACATTAAGAACATTGATTACAATTTTTGCAACATAATAAAGCATTAAATCAACTGTTGTAAACTGTTGCAAGGCATAGTGGCTCTCAAATTACAACTTTCAGACACTGAGTGTCATATCTGAAGACAATGTAATGTTATTTCATAGTTACCAAGTGAAGCAGATCTGGTTTTATTCTCTGAAAGCTTCTTGGTCTTTCTTTTCTTTCCTGTTCTCAGAGGTTGTGCAATTGCATCATCTTGAGCTTAATTTTTTTTAAATTAAAGAATTACAAAGAAACAATGTTAAGAAGAAAAGATCTTCATTTGTACTTCCTAAAACAATTTCTCCCAAACAAATTGTAACTTTAAAAAAAACTAGATGAGACAAATGTAAACAATTTTGATGTCATAATTATTAAGATAAAAATTGTATATCATTTAGGCTAAGATAAAAATTCTATGAGCTTTTGGCTGCCCAAGTCAATGCAAACATTGTTTCACGTCATTTGTAAATAAATTCACGTGAAAAAATTATTTATTTACATCTGATTAATAAACATTATCTTTTGTAATGCTTTCTTTTTTTATAACTGAAAATTGTAAGAGTCATACTGTCGTCACACTGTCAACTTCAAAAAATGAATAGTCAGCTAGAGTCAATGAACAAAATTTTCACTTATTGTTCAACCCATTTGTAAATTATTATATTTGTAGATTTTTCATTTAAATGTTGCTTATTTTACATGCAAATAGTCCTTAATAACCCCTTATAAATATCTGAATGAATATTATGATCACACAACATAAAAGAGCAAAGTATTCTGACAGCATCTTGGTTTTTAGTTTTGTCTAGTTGTATTGTAAAGGGACATTAGTCTTTCATCAATTTTTTGGGAAAATGGTAAAGACATTTTAAAAAAGTTTTTTTAAAGTTATATAAAGAATATTGAATATTCCCATAAAAACAGAATTTTTTCCCCACAATACTTACTGCTTGTGAAATCAATTTGTGAGAATTTCTTTATTGATTTGCGTGCATCTCTCTTCACTTCATTCACTATGTTCTCTCTTTTACTAGCAAAGTCAGTATTTAAAACATCATGCTGGAACTCATCATTCGTTGCATCTTTTTCTTTTAAAACCTCATTGAGACCATTAGAGTGGTCTATTGAATATGAAAGTGCTGGTTCTGAAACATTACATTCTTGATAAGCTGGATTCATAGATGTTACATTTCCTGAATTATTTTCAGAAGTTTCTGTCTCACACAAAGATGGTTCTGCATCAGTGACAGTTTTCTCCCCTGTCCTTACTGGCCAAACTGCATCTGAGTTTGAATGACACATTTCTTCACTGTCAATGATTATGTCATGAGATGGATATAAACTAGAAGTGTTTTTAAAATTCATGTTCTTATCAGTAGCAGCAGAAGGAAAAACACTGAGAAGATGGGATGATTCTGAGGTATTCCTTGTAATGTTTTCAGACTCATATTTACATACATCTGATTGTGAATCCAATATGTTGTTATTCTTGAATTCATCTAAATTCATCCGAGTGTCCTCAGCCTCCAGATGGCCATTTTGAATAGAGAGGTTATTTTCCAATTGCACCATCTGGCCCATTTCAGAATCCATCTGACCATCACAGAAAGAATCGACTCCAGAAGATGTGTTACGTTTCAGTGCAGCATTAGAGCATATAATTTTATCACTGACTTCACTGAACTCCTTGCAGCCTTTACCATTATCTATGTCTGATGTGGAATTCTCATGGCTGTTACTGTTGACCTGATGGTCTTCAAAAGTCTTTACAATTTCAAGACTGCTAACAATATTTGTTAATTTTTCAAGAGCATCAGATTCATTGGAAGAAAATGTGCAATCTCTCATGTCAAGGTCACTTGAGGCAAGCTCTCTGTCAGTAATCCCAAGTTCATTCACACTAACAGAGCTACTACGGATTGGAGTATCTTTAGTGAGGAATATTTTGTTCTGCCCTTTCTGCTGCAAATTTTCTTGTACATCGTGTTCATTTGTGCAATCACTATTTTTAACTTCGCAATCTACAACGAGATCAGCAACAATGTGCTCATTTTCTTCTGTTAGTTGTCTCGAAGAAAAAACAATACTTTCATTGTTTTCTTCCACCATGTTTTCTGCTTCTTCTTTTTTATTATTGTCTGTATCCACCTCACTGTCATACTTTTGAGTGTATACTCTATCTATGCCAACATTTTGGGGCTCAAATGTTTCAGCAGTTTTCTGAACCATATCAGACTTATCACCAGTTCTTGGCTTGAAATCACGTATCTGAACACCTTCACTGACCACAACCATGCCAGAGGGCAGGTATGTGTACCCCATGAACTCTCCAGTATCCATAAAGTCATCACATGCACTGAGAGATTCAATGGAACCTTCACTCAAATCTTCCATGGATGCTTGCACTTTTTCCACCATGTCCAATTTACCTTCCTCTTTTAGACCTTGTAAAAAAAAAAATAAATAAAAAAAAAACACTGCCTTTAGTAATAAATGTTTTTGAAATAGTCCTCAAGAAGTTTCCATTATGATCAAAGAGAAACAAAAAACTTCATTGCTTCTTAAAGACAAGTAACTTTTAATAAATCTCCTGATGGAATAAAATATTTAATTTGGATCTTTTGTGTTTTTAACAATTTTATAAAATAGCCAATGAAATCGTTTCATTGAGGGTATAATAAAAATCACATCTATAAAAAAATAAATTTAAAATGAGATTATAATTTCTAAAAAACATTCCAGCTTAGTTTCACCTGCCAAAAGAGTCTGCAGCAAATCTTGGTTGACCCGTTTCATAATGGCTGGCCGAATGTTAATTAGGTCAGCTGAGAGGAGCAAGCAGGACATCAATGACCACCTTTTGCGCAAGGACAACACTGTGAACAGCTGATAGACAGGTAATAAGGACAGCTTGTGGACTTCTGTCTTGTCCAGAAACAGGTAAATGTCATTGTTGATAACAGAAATGTCTTTTATACCTGAAAAATATGTTAACAATGTTATTTGGAAAGCTTAATATAAATAATGTAAAATTTAACCCGTGAGGTAGTGGATATTTGCTTGGCAACAAAACAAATCAAACAAAATCAAATGTACATAGAGGTCTTGCTAAATTTTGATTTTTTAAAATAAAATTAACAATTTTAATTTTTCACATTGTTAAAGAAGTCTGGCAATATTATAGTTTTTTTACCTTTAAAACTTTCTGTCCACACAACAACCTTGACATTTATAGGATCAAATACGTAGACTCCTTTCAAACTCCAAGTTACAATAAACTGTCTGAAAGTATTTTATAAATATTATTGAAACAGGCCAGAGTTAAATAGAAAGGAAATTATGGGTAAAACTTTCCAGTTAATAAACTTAAGCTCTAGAGACTAATAGTATGTTTAAGTTTAGTACCTGATGCAGTAAAAAAATAAGAAATCTAAACTAACACCAAAAATGTATCACATACCCAATTCTCAACATTTTGAAGAAATTTACAGACTGTGATGTAATTTTACCACTGATTACAGAGACAAGCTGTTCCTCCCTGGAAAATGTCAAAGAAATAATCAAACTATATTACATTAGAGAACTTTGGATAAAAATATTTCTGTTTTTCAAAATGTCAACAAGATGAAAATATTGAATGTATTTCAATATGTCAACAAAAAAAAAGCATTGATAATTCATGACAAGTACAATCTCAAGGACAGCTTTGTTTCTCATGCAACATAGTTTCATTGTCATACAAATAGAACATTGAGATATGTACATACCAAATTTGAATGACTGGAACTGATGGTGTGGCTAAAAGCTGCTTAAACTGGAGTGTACCAATAAAACATTGAGATATGTACATACCAAAGTTGAATGACTGGAACTGATGGTGTGGCTAAAAGCTGCTTAAACTGGAGTGTACCAATAAAACATTGAGATATGTACATACCAAAGTTGAATGACTGGAACTGATGGTATGGCTAAAAGCTGCTTAAACTGGAGTGTACCAATAATACATTGAGATATGTACATACCAAAGTTGAATGACTCGAACTGATGGTGTGGCTAAAAGCTGCTTACAAATAGAACATTGAGATATGTACATACCAAAGTTGAATGACTGGAACTGATGGTGTGGCTAAAAGCTGCTTAAACTGGTATGTACCAATAGAACATTGAGATATGTACATACCAAAGTTGAATGACTGGAACTGATGGTGTGGCTAAAAGCTGCTTACAAATAGAACATTGAGATATGTACCTACCAAAGTTGAATGACTGGAACTGATGGTGTGGCTAAAAGCTGCTTACAAATAGAACATTGAGATATGTACCTACCAAAGTTGAATGACTGGAACTGATGGTGTGGCTAAAAGCTGCTTACAAATAGAACATTGAGATATGTACCTACCAAAGTTGAATGACTGGAACTGATGGTGTGGCTAAAAGCTGCTTACAAATAGAACATTGAGATATGTACCTACCAAAGTTGAATGACTGGAACTGATGGTGTGGCTAAAAGCTAGGGGTGTGCCGGACCCCGGTCCGGAATCCGGTTCTGCCGGATTTTGCACTATCCGGTGAAATCCGGTTCCGCCGGATTTACATGTATCCGGAACAACCGGATTCCGGAATCCGGAATATACCGGATTTCGGAATTTGCCAGATTTTGTGACTCACCGGATCATAATCTGAAATAAAAGTAATTCTCTTTCCCGAATTTCACACGATCACGATACATTAATCGATTGTTTCGAGCGTTGAGCTTGTTTAATGTTTAATATTCCGTACATACCAGAGGCTAGAGTCAGCACCGCTAATAGTGGCCAATAGTGTAGGGACTTTGATAAGAAAATTTAAACTTTTTGTAAAAATAAACCAATGGCATAGTTGAAAAGATGTAATTTTTTTAAGAATTATAACACCAAAATCATATTTTTAGCAGTTGTAGTTTTAAAGTTATGAATTTTTAAAGTACGACTTGGTTTGTCATTTTTTAACATGGACTGCATCTCCACATTCTGTGATCTCATTCCACCAATCCCGTCATGCGCAATGACTATATAGTTTATATAAGGCAACGCATTCCCTGCCTTATCACTAAAATACTGTTTAGACTTAGTTTAAACTTTCAACTTTGGCACATGAATAATTAATTAAAGCTTTCCCTGACCAATGGTTTAATAGTTTTTGCACACGGCAAACTCTTATGAATGAAACTCTGAGGTAGTACTACGATACAGTTATGCAAGTGGCTGTGAATGGTTGCCAATGACAACGTGTTGCACACGGTAAATTCTGATCATTTATAATATGGATTCTACCGGGTTGTTAAAGCTCAAATTAAAACATTCCAGTTTAAATGTCTTTAAATGCATTCTGAAACACAAGTTATCAATTATTTTGATGTAAATAGTGATAATAAATTAATATTTCCTAAGTATCGTCAACTTCCGCCATTAAAAAGGGGGGCGTGGCCAACCCCATGGCGAAATTAGGTTGAGCGAGCTGCATAACCTGCTGCGAACGCGTAGAAACATGGCGTCTCTCGTAAGACACTTATCCAAATGGAACGGAACTCAAATATATATCGAAAGTACTAATTTAATAATAAATAGACACACACATCGGAAAATTAAAAACTCGGATTTTTTGGCGCCGATTGCGAATTCCCATACACAAAAAGTAGTAGTCCACCTTGACTTACCGAAGTATCTACCAATAGTACCAAAATCCGGAATACGGGAGAAACCGGAATCCGGATCCGGCGGATTTCGCATAAGAAAATCCGGATCCGGTTGGAAAAAACGGATCCGGCACACCCCTACTAAAAGCTGCTTACAAATAGAACATTGAGATATGTACCTACCAAAGTTGAATGACTGGAACTGATTGTGTGGCTAAAAGCTGCTTACAAATAGAACATTGAGATATGTACCTACCAAAGTTTAATGACTGGAACTGATGGTGTGGCTAAAAGCTGCTTAAACTGGTGTGTGTTCAAAACTTTCCCCTCAAAATCTACCTGAAAAAAAAAGAAAGTAAAATGAAAATCTTAAATATATAATGTTAAGCTGTTCAATTTTGTCTAGTTATTCTTTTTAAAAAAAAAATTTTGTTTGCTTTACTTCAAAATTTTATGAATAACATTCATTCATTTATATAATTTTCTTTATACAGTCTATTTTTCTGGAAAATTAGAATAACAATATTTTAATATTTATTTTTTAAATAATAGGCCTATATATTTTTAGAATATATCAGAAACGTTCAATTACTGACTCTAAAACATATGAACAAATAGGACAATCCTAGCTAGAGCCTGCCAAACAATGAACTTTCCATCTATTAAAGTTATGTGATAAAAGATGCATTCAAGTAACATACTTTATACTATTCCCAATTAAAGCCCCCCCCCCCCATTAACATTCTAATGCCCCACCCACTTTTACACCACAGATTTATGACACCAACTATGTCAGTAAAACAAAAGAAAATATTATGCACCAAACACACTCAGGGTATTTTTAAGAATCTTATTTAGCGCAGTTATTTGGAATTTTATTTAGTGAAATCAGGACCGTCTGGTTGCATTAGTGACACTGTTAGAGAGATAAGCATTTTCATAAAATATTACTTCAACAGAAAAATATTTAACAATTTTAAAAATAAGTTATAAGAAATTTCTTAGCCATTATAATGTTCTACCTCCCACATTCGTGATCCAGGTCTGGCACAATAGACAACAGGAACTTGAGAGCTGGGTTCTAGGAAATAACATGCTCCGAATTCTCCATCTCTGTGTGAATAAATAATAATAATATAATAATTTGAAAATCTATCACTAAAAATTAGGTTATTAGGAAATGTTTAGAGCTCATGGAGCCTATCTATCAATGACCTTGACCTAAAGATTGTTCCAAGACTCCATTTGCCTCTTTCTGATAACTAAGGGTAAAACTGTGTTTATTTCTATTTTCAAATACAAGCATTGTCTTTAGATTACATTAAAGTTTACATACAAAATGGAGAGGGTTCAACAAGAGGATATAATTAACCAATGAGACTAAGCCTTTAGGGACTGTCTGACAGAGCTGTTTACACAGGCATGCACTTACTTTGCAAAATTTTTAAAATAAAAATGAATTAGTTTACAAATATAAAACTACATATATTCTTGTAGGGAATTGAATGAACTAATATGATCTTTATAAATCAAACTGAAATCTCAACATTTTTGCAAATGATATATCCTGATTTGCATAATTTATGCATGCAACTTTTTTTTTACACTTGGAATAAACATTTCTTAATTGCAGAACTTTGTTAAATTTTATTACGATTGTTGAAGCCTAAATAAGTCCTAACCCATAATTGAATGAGAATCAGTGTGAAAAACTGCTTAAAATATTTAGGGGTCACTTGCTACAAAAAAATTAGTTTTAAAATTACAGAACACCATGGAAGCTTCCATTAAAATGGTGAGATAAGCAAGAAATGATAGAAGCAATCTGATTAGCTGGAACAAAGACCAGCCAGCTAATCTCTAGGTTTTTATTATTGAGCTAATGGATCTGCCTTTTGTTGTTTTTTTTGACATAACACTCTGGGCCAATCAAACTCTGGGCCGATAGATTGGCTCAGCCATCTCAAGATGGCTAAGACCATTTCACAGCAGTGAAAATTTTTTATAACCTTTATGGAAAACGATTATGCTCAAATTTATTTTTCATCAAATTTAAATAAGAAAAAAATTATTTAAGAAAAAGAGTTCTTGCCTTGATTTTGTCCCAATAGTGCTATAGTTATGCCTGTAATTTAAAAAAGAAATAAAATCATAAAAATATTTCAAAATTTTAGATAGTAATGGGTAAATAAAAGTAAAAAATATAGAAAATATTGCATCTTATTAAGTTTTGTATTCAAATTTTTGACAAATTTTAAAGTGTATTGCTAAAAGAAATTTCAAATTCAAATAATCATTTTTTTTAAAATGCTAGCCTGTATATGATTTTTCAGTGGTAGCTAGGCCCATAGTATGGATTAGGATAGCATACATGCCAATCTTTATGGTTACCTGTACTTTGTATGATTTTAAGTGTTACAGGTTGTATGGTTTTATACAGGATTGTGTATGGTTTTTCACTGGTTTTAGAGATAACTTTTTTTGCTCTCAAAAACATGTTTACAACTGATGATGCAATCAATTCAAAAGGAATCTTAAATCCTATTGGTCAATTCAAAATTATATTAGGCCAAAAGTCTGGGATTGGTAGGCCATCTAAATTTATAAATTGAGAGAGGTTTAATTGATATGATTAGTTAATACTACAGCATTGTAATGCAGTAACTACTCTGAGGAGTAAACCATATTTAAGAATCTCTTTGATAATTAAATAATAAAAAAAAGTATTTTTTCAAAATTGTCATTTTCTTCTGGACTGTTTTTCCCTGGTGTTGTTGTTTTTGTTTTACTTTGACCAGATTTTGATTCCACAGGCCAGCATGTATAGAATTTGCATAATCAGTAAATTCCTTGTTGTTTGTGAATAGCTAAAATAATCTGTTGACTAAAATGTTTACTTCAGTGTGTCAAATAGGTGAGTGTGTGTTGCTGTTGACACAAGCAGTTTGTCTTTCCACCATTCCATCTGGCAAATGGCTGAACTGAGGTAAGCAATGACTTCAGATGGTCCTGCAAACAATGTCTTACCCTGAAATAATATCAATTCATGAGATACAGATTTGAAAGAGCAAAAGTAAAATATTCCATTTAATTTAGCCGAGATATGTTAAATGACAAAATTGAAACAATTATTTTTTTCAACAGTCTTACATTCTTACTGAGGCAGGCCTTGTCTTCACCAGACTTTATTATAAAAAAAAAAAGATTAATTTTAGTGAAATACTATTCTGTCATGATGTCTGTTTTAATCACCTTAACGGAAGGCACAAAAATGATGGAAAGTTTGCCAGTATTGTCCCCAACAAACATTTTAGAACAGGCTGAGTCCCATGTGATTGAGCTGACCAAATGCCCTGAATGATCTTGGGAACTTCTGATGCGCTCTGGCTTTATTCTTTTATCAATGTTGAGTTCAAATACTGCTACAAGACCAGTGCTGTATGAAAGACAATAATTGAATGAGTAATCACCAATGAAAAATCTGGAAAAGGCTTGTCAGATTTAGTTGAGTTTGGTGGTCTCGTTTCACCAGAGTTTGCACAAGAAGTAACAGTCTCAGTGCCAATAAAATTAAAATAGGTGATTAATTTCTCATATTAGAAGCCAGTGCGTAACTATATATATATATATATATATATATATATATATATATAGTGTATAACTTCATTGTATCAGCAGTGTTATAGGTGTCTCGCTTACTTTCATTCATCTTTCCTGGTGAATGAACTTAAGCTGACCCTAAGTTCTGCAGCGCTGTTAGGGTGTGGCTAACTAAATATAGTCTCCCTTGACCTCAGTTACAACCAACTAAAATCTATGGTCTGTATTATTATTAGAATTATGTAGAATTATGTTAATTTATCAAAAAGAGAATACAATGCGTAGTTTCATCTAGAAGTATCTATGAAACAGGCTATATAAACGCCTAGTGAGATTTAGTGGAAGATCAGACGAGAGATATTTTGAGCATGTGCTATGTTTGCTACGAGACAGAGATTTGTTTATTGTGTTTGTATATGTGGATTCCTTTTCACCATTGTACCTTTTTACAACATTGTATCTTCTTCAACATTGTACTGGTACAAGCCAATCATTATACTCTAAGTCAATAGCTTTAATTATATTTCTTTTTGATTTTGTAATTTATTATTAACATAATAAAATTTATTAATTGCAATTAGCCCTGGTTTGAGTATCGTATTGTTTTTAACATGTGGTATTATCTTTTCTTGTGTACTGTTTTAGAACAAGCCATATACTTAAATAAGAGATTAATTTCTCCATACTGATAACAGTACCCAACAAACGGTAAGTCTGTGGTTTTGGAGGTTTTATGATCATTGAACATTGAGGCATTATTTATTATTGCAATAATAAATGTTTGGGGCATAACTTCTGGTTTGTTCAATTTTTTGGTGGATGACCATGTACCAGAAATTCTCCCATAGACCAAGCCAGTCTATTCTCCCATAGACCAAGCCAGTCTATTCTCCCATAGACCAAGCCAGTCTATTCTCCCATAGACCAAGCCAGTCTATTCTCCCATAGACCAAGCCAGTCTATTTGAGACAAAGTCCAAAACGACTCTAAAGTAAACCATTTTCTATAAAGACACTTATGAATTATTTTGGAAAGTTGTAAAAAATAATTTTAAGAAAGAAATCTCTAATGATTTTGAAATCATGGCCAAGAAGTAAGAAAAAAATATAAATTAAAATTAATTGTTAAGAACTCCCATACCTTAATGCAACACCCACATGCTGATCAGATGATGGCAAACTGACACATACAACTGGATTCGCCTCCTAATTGAAATTAATTCAGCAATGTAATTGAAAATGTTTGAAAAAGCTTCAAACATAATTCTGGCAAAACTGTTTTATTTATTAACCAGTAAGCTAATATATAAAATGTACTTGATAATTACAGCGGGAACATTGCTTATGGTGTCAATAATTGTTGAAAGGATAAAATATTTACATTGTGTTTTAAATTTCTAATTGTTTACAATAGCTATAACAGGAAAATCAAATATATTTATAAAAGATGCTTAGGTAGGGGTGAGGCTTCATTAAAAACAAATTAATTGATGAGGCTAGCATTTATTTCTCAAAATTTGTCTCTTGCCTGAAATGGGAAAGAGGTAACAACTTCTAAAGACTTACGGTGTCTGCAAAGACCACTTGAAGGTATTTCAAAGTGTCCCTGCTAAAGATGTACACACCACCAGTGTTTGAACCCAGGGCAATATATTTTCTAGATACTGATAAACAGGTATACTGTAGAAAGGAAAATTTAAAAAAAGTATTAGTGAGGTAATATTTTAGAAATTTTCAATACAATCTACAGAGACAACATGAAAATAGTATATTTAAATGTGATAGATGTTTCTAATGGATAAAGCTGATATGCCTTTTTTAAACCATTCCAAGCAAATTTCAAAAAACACATTAAAATAAAAATTTGATGATTGATGATCTGAATATATTTCCTCTTTTTTAATGCCTAAACTTACTATTTATTTTATTTTAAAAAATAAGAGTAGTAATTGGAATCAAAAGCATTTTCTGGAATGTCACCCACCTGGGACATATTCATTGAGTTAAAGTAAGAAAATTATTAAACTAAATTACTAACATTTTAAGAGATGGGAGATAACATCAATGAAATGAGGTATCTCACTATTTCAGAAGTATGAATTATGGCAAAATTTCTTGACATGAGCCATATGGCCTCCCAGGGTGCCACTGTCACAAATGACTGGGGCGGGGGTTGACGACAGAGCCCCATTGTTCTTCAGATAATTTATAAGGTGGACGGAAATTGCTTGATTTTGGGGAGGGAATTGTTAGGTGGATGTGGTAAGGTTAATATATTCTCGCATCTTTGAGATTGGGGGGATATTTCTTTCCAAAATATTGTGCCTCCACCCTTCTAGACTTCTCATGATAATTTTGGTATTCCAAAAGTTCCTAATTAACCGGAAATGATGGTGTAGTGATGGGTTAATATTTAATAGATAGCATTCCTGGACCACCTAGGGTGGTAGAGAATTGTATATAAGAATTGTATATAAGATAGAACTCTTTGAGGATAGTTCACATGTCATCTGTGGTGCCCCAACGGTCCAAGGACTAAGGGACATGATGATGATGGGCGGTCATTATGAAGTGGTAGATGCAGCAGTACTGGTAGTCAAGGATAGAACCAGTGATAGACCATTAGTCAAGTGTTAGAGTTAGGAAATAAACTTTACTGAATTGGTTATATTATATTATATTCATCAATACATCTTTTATCTATAACTGTTGCTGAGGAGTTCCTTGACCATTCGTTAGTGTTCTGTGTTTTCTTTGTTGTACTTTTCAACGCCTGGACTAGTAAAAAGGACTTTATTTAAAAAGAGAAGTATTTTCATATTAATAACAAAAGTTTGTGTTAAAAAAGGTTGAGAAATGCTGAATTACGATACTGTTCAAAAGTGAGAGCAGTAAAGAACACTTTTACTTTTAATTAGACCTACACTACAGTAATAACTTTAAAAAACCTTTAATCTTGCTGATCTAGCAGTGAGCACACTCAATTCATCTAACGGTGACAGTTCTGCCAAAATATGTGTTAACCCATTGGATTTGGCCATGGTGAAGTCTGAAAACAAAATAATGATAGAATCTTCATTAGATCATTTAAATTTACATAAATTTAGAAATTATATTTCACTACTACTTGACATTAAAAGATTTGGTCAATTTAAGCAATCCGTGCCACTTTGAATTTCTGTTTAAGATTCTCATCCTTTTGTTTATTCTTAGATTGCTACTAGGGTTAACTTTTCTTTTTTCAAAAATATTAATACATTGATGAAATGTTTTGAATTATAATTTCATTGGGTGGCAGGTGGTTAATTATAGTATTAAAATTTGCCTTCATTTTGGAAAATGGGTATAATATTGTATTGTATTGATTTTCTGACAACTTTTGGATTTTCTTTTTGGTGGCACCTGCAATAGCCACATCACACATGTTCTAGTTGAGGCGAGGAAAGGGCAAAAAATTGCTAAGTTCGCAACAAAATTAATGTACCAGCTGAAATTACACCAGGAAAAGGAGCGACTGCAGGTCATTGACACTTCTTGCTGCATAGAGGTAGAGGGATACAATAAATTTGCTACGTTGCCATGTAATTAATATATCGTCTGAAATTTATTTCATTAAATTTTAACACTTGGTTACTATTTCCGTTTCTCTCTGTTTTAAGCTAAAACAGCAGTTAGTAATTTACAAAAGATTTTTATTTTTTAAATATCTGTCTAATGGTTCAGTTCAAGTGTGTTATACTAAGAGGTTTAGAGTTTAATGATGCTAAATTTCCGAGAAAAAATACAAATGAAAGCAGATAATGATTATTATTAATTTAGGAATAATAAAATTAAATATAGGAGGATAGATCTTAGTCTTAGATCAGAAAAATGAATAATCAGATAGGCAAATAGTAAATAAATAGTAATAGTAAATACTAAAAATAGTAAATATAGTTAGTAATACTAAATAGTAATAGTAATATATAATAATAATATATATTATATTATTATTATTATAGTATAGTCTTGTAAATAGGCTTTTTATTATTATAGGCCTAAAATTTAAAAGAATAAGAATAATAGAATTATATCTACTTGTATCATCAGAAGCCAGTCAGTTCTAATTTATAACTCTATATTATATATTTAAAAATAAAATAAAAATAGCAGGACAAGGGCTAGTCGGTTTCATTTCCTCGTAAATATAAAATACTATACGATCATGTGATCACATTAATAGAATCAAAACATTCAGATTAAAAATGGGGCGTCACTCCAAGCGAGAAGAAAAGTTTCCGTATAAAAATTTCCCATATAGAGCCTTTATACTACATATGCTTTAACTTGAATTTTATCGCTTTTTTAATTAGCCTACCATAACATGTGGCGATGAATGTGTGATGATTTGGAAAGCATTTAAAAAACTCGTTTGCTGCTGAATTCAGACAAATGGCACAGAGTCTTCATACTAATTACCCTCACACACACAGAGAGAGGGAGAGATAGATAACTGTTAATTCCCGATACCACTAATTACCTAATGCCTTTAACCCCGTCTGGGACATAGGCCATCTACAAGAACTTTCCATTCATATTGGACCTGTGATTTCCTTTCCAGTTGCTTCAAGATGTATCCCATACTTTTTTTGTCTGACTCAAGCTCGCGTCTCCGTGTATTCTTAGGCATTCCCCTCTTTTCCCCCTGTAGATTCCATGTTGGAATTGTCTAGTTACCTTATCTGGGGGTTTTCGGATGTCTTCATCAATAGGCTCCTGGTGTGTCTTTTCCAGTAAGTTTTTGTTGGTGATGGTGTTTGGCCATTTGATATTCAGGATCTTTCTAAGGCAAGTGTCTATGATAGTATGAAGGTCTGTACTTTCTGCGTAATGCTCACTGTTCTCCAAGTTTCGGCTCCATAGAGTAGGACTGTTTTGACAACTCACAACGTATCTTAAGGGGAGGGAAGGGGTCACATATTTGTGACTAGGCATATCGTGGTCTTGCCAACCCTAGCTTAACTCTAATCAACTCACAAACCACAAAATCAAAACCTTTAGGTAAGTCCTGAGAATTATCAACAAACACGTCATCTCTCATTCCCAAAAAATTCACCAGTACAAACTTTCTAGCAACCGCTACACAATTAATGTCTTTACCAAATCCACTCACAAACAAATCGAGTGCTACCAAACACACAATAATGGAACAAATGATAAACAACGCTAAAAACTCATTGTAACAACCGTTCACACTAACAACGGTGATTCTCATACCCTTGATACCAGCTACATTTTATCCATTGCATCTATACAGCTCAACTATTATATACAATTAAAGGAAAGTAATATAATGTTCAGTCAAGAAAATCAACTTAATTACCAACATCCAGTGTTTTCCCCCTTCTTTTTTAAAAGATACCACCACCACCATCATCAGTGGCGCCGGCCCCGGCCTGCTCCGCCACATACTTCCATTCGGATCGATCCATGGCTATCCGCCTCCATACGCGAACCCCCAGCTGATGTATGTCCTTCTCTATATCGTCGATCCATCTCAGTCTTGGTTGACTGGTGAGCCATCTACCCCTATGTTCATGTCTGTAGATCACTTTTGGTGTTATACAATCCGGTATCCTTTCAATATGTCCTTCTCAGCGCAGTCTGCCCTTTTTTAAAAATTGTTGTGACTATGGATAGATCTTTGTACAATTGATACATCCATGGGCGCCCGCAGGTAGGGGCAAGGGGGGCCACTTGCCCCCCCCCCGGATTGATTGGATACAAATTTTTTAGACAAAAATAGACAATTTATTAAAGTAAAGAGAAAATAACTAAGCTGATGTCCTGTCCGTTCGTTCACAATAAAAAATACAAATACGCTACAGTAAATTAAAACTATATTAGAGCATTACTAAAAAATTGTGCCCCCCTCCCTGGAAAGTTAATCGATTTTTTGCCCCTCCCCCTAGAAAGTTTTCTGCGGGCGCCCATGGATACATCTTTTGGTTTGTGCGGATTCTCCAAACATCCTTGTCTATCACTAGGTGTTAAAAGTGTCTCGTTTACTTTCATTCATCTTTTCTGATGAATGAACTTAAGCTGACCTCAAGTTCGGCAGCAGTATTATGGTTTGGCTAACTAAATATAGTCTCTCTTGACCTTGGTTACAACTAAATAAAATCTATGGTCTGTATTATTATTAGAATTATGTCGAAATATTGAGAAAGGAATACAATGTGTAAGTATGTTTGAGAAGTATCTATGAAACACGCTATGTAAATACGCATACAGAGATTGAACGACGGGAAGATCAGACATGAGATATTTTGAACCCTATTACCATCAGGGTTTCTTTCAGCTACCGGTATATCTCCGGGTGGGGGGAACCCCACGTGCCCCCCACCCCAGCAAAAAATATGTCCGACAATAAATCAACTGGCACTGCCCCCATCCCCCGACAAAAAATAAATTTCTGAAATAATCACTGATTACCATAGAGATTTTTCTATACCAGACAGAGATTTGTTTACATTTGATGTGTGTGTGTAGATTCCTTTTCATCATTGTACCTTTTTACAACATTGTTACTTCCTCAACATTGTACTGGTACAAGCCAATCATCATTACTGTAGTAAGTGTAAGTGGCGTAGCTAGGGATTTGGGGGCCCCTGCATTTTGACATTGGACATTATTTAATGATTTAATGTAAAAAAAAAATAATTTCGGACACGCCTTTGGGGGCCCCCCTCAAGTGGGGGCCCGGAGGGACTTTCAAATTGGGTCACCCCCCCCCCCCCCAGTTACGCCTCTGAGTCAATGTCTTTAATTTTATTCCTTTCTAATTTTGTAATTAATTAATTATTAATAGAATATTAACCTAATAATTTTATTAATTGTGATTAACCCTGGTTTGAGTATGGTATTCTTTGTGATTTTAATTTAACATTATGGTATCGTCATGTGTTGTTTACTGTTTTAGATTGAGCCAAATACTTAAATTAGTTAAATAAGAATAAGAGTAAAGATACCAACACTGTCATTTTGGACAGAAAGCGTGGACGCCAATGGCTCTTGAGCGAAAATTGGAAGGGGTAAATTTTTAAAATAAATTCATGATTCATAGTCAATGGGTGCATTTTAACGTACCGGGTATACCTCATTTAACCAGTGTTACTTTCAGAAAATTTGATCCATGGGGAAGTCATTCCATTTCAGGCTTGGGGAGGGTGGGTACCGGGACTATCAGTGAATATCTAGTATCAGCATCCAAATTAGGCATTTTGGCATCCAGTGCAATAAATATAAATATCCTGAACTCACCGTGGTTGAGGCCCATTTTATTTTCGCCCCCGTTCTGTCACATTGATCAGAGGAGTAAAGCAACAAAACAATCGAGGGCTGCAGATGAAAAAGGGGGGGGGGGGTGTCGTCATCTTGGATTCCTACCCAGAAAATTAAAGATAAATGGAAAATTTATAAAATGTTTGGCGGATTACCAATTAATGATGGGCCAAAACTTTTTAATTTAATTAATTACTTTTTATTTTCGCCCCCGTTCTGTCACATTGATCAGAGGAGGAAAGGAACAAAACAATCGAGGGCTGGAGATGAAAAAGGGGGGGGGGGGTGTCGTCATCTTGGATTCCTACCCAGAAAATTCAAGATAAATTGAAAATTTATAAAATGTTTGGCCGATTACCAATTAATGATGGGCCAATACCTTTTAATTTAATTAATTACTACTGCTGTACCGTATCTTATCAATCAGCCTATAATTTATAATTCATGTACCGGTACCCGGTATTAAAGTATTTCATTGAATTTCATAGTTTATCACAACCGATATTATTAATGTTATAGATCTATACTATATTAATACTATAACTTAGGTTATAAGAGTAAGGGTAAAAAATGTGTTATGCAAATCAATAGGTAAGAAGCGAGCGCCACTCGGTCATTTGATCCAACTGAATCTGATGGCCACTATTACAATCAGAGGCGTTGATGGCGCTCCGCCCCGGACGGCACTTTTTTTCTATACCGGTATTTGGAGGGGTTGAATTTCGAGGAAGGTGAAACTCCAGTGGCAGCAAATATCTAGGCCCTTAATTATAATTTCGATGCCCCAATGATCATTGTCAAGGTACCGGTACTTAAAAATTAACCAGTGATTCCGTTAGAAGTATGAAATTGAAATGCGTTATTGATTGCTTACACCAGGGCTATACTCAGCGTCATCAGCTCTTCTCCTGGATTGTATCTGGACTCTTAAATCATGTAATACATTATTTTGCAGTGTGGCTTCCCCATCAGCTGTTCTTTGTGCATGTATTTTTAATATTCACGTTGGCTAAACGCGGTTCTGTGAACAACAAAATATATGGCACTCTGCTCTGATACCAGAGTTAGAGAATAGGTTCCAAGATGTTCAGAAAAATAATCATTCTCTTGGAATATATTCAGTTGTGATTAGCAATTTTAAAGTATATTTACCATAGTATAAAACTGATTGGTTTGAGAACTGCAACTACTTCCATAGAACCAAAATATCTGATGATCGCCTTGAGAACTGAATGAGAATTGCAACTACTTCCATAAGATACATGATACATAAGTAATAAAATATTTATTTTTAAAAAATTGTCAATGGTGGATCCTAAATATATTTTGCTTTCTATTTCTATTAGCAACAATCTCATTTGAAATAAGCCAAATAAATTATCAAACTATATCAGTCAGTCGATTTCATATGCACCTGTACATTAGAATGCTTTAGTTGTATTGATTCCTAAATAAATCTTTACAAGCTAGTGGTATCATATTAGCAAGAAAAATAAGTGCAAACACAAAACGCATCACATATCTAATAATATTTAATAAAGAAAAACAAGTCAGCTTTGTTAACATGACGCTTTATTTGGCATCCCTTTCAATTTTCTCATTCTACACACCAGGAAATAAGCAAATGTTTACATCTTGAGCTTAGTACGTCTCCAGTGACGCCTTTTAGCATTGTATCTGTTAAAAGAAGAAACAAAGAAAAGTTTTACTGCCAGAGTGTTATGGAACAAAATATACAATGATTAAAAGTATCAAGACTATTCACCACATAACTTGGGAAGGGAATAAATCGCATCTGACATTTGCACGAGCAAAATACTATTGCTACACATCATGCAATCCTAAGTATTTTTTAT